AATAGCTTCTTAATGGGCTGGCCCAGGCCCAGGGCCAGGCCCAAGCCCATTTTCAGGCTAGGCCGGCCTTTTCGGGCACATATTTCGGGCTGGGCCTTACCTGGCCGGGATGAAGTATATTTGGGCCGGGCCCTGCCATTGGCAGCCCTATTGTCGTCTTTAACATCTTTTAAAAGTCTCAAGTTGGCCTAAACACCGCGTTAATGTGTTGGAGGTTAAAAAATGGTCCCGTGATAACCAAACTAAAATGATCCAGCAAAAAAATATGACGGGTATATTGCTTATTTGGGATGAAATTATTGAAAACTCTTAAATATCGAAAGCAGTGTTCGTGCGCGAGTGTCTTACAGTTATTTCACAGTTTAAATTAGATTAAATTCTAATTATGACTTCCTCATATGAATAAATAAATATATAATTTATTTCTAAAAATAGATGAGGAGTGTTTGCAAAATCGAATCCGAACGGTTAATTGTACATGGGCCTAGAAACGATTTAACCGGTCCAGCTGGCCGATTCAACCGCTCTAACTAGGCAAGTCCCGAACGGTTAAAAAATGTTGAAAAATATGAAAAAGATACAAAAAAATCTACTAAAATATGAAAAGCATATAAAGAATGATTAATACAAAACACATTCAAATGAAGTTGAAAATTAATTAAAAAATAGATTTTAACAAATCGATTTATCCCTAGGGGTAGTTTTATATTTTTCTAAAAAATTGAGAAAATATGAAAGTGAGTATTACCGACCAAAACAATTTTTAAAAATTTTAAAATATTAAAAAAAATACATTACAAATCAAATTATTTATTTTTAAAAATTTATATATTTTTTAATTTTTTCTAAAATATCAGTTTATCATCAAAACAATCTAAAACCGAATCCGACCACTGACCGATTCCAAAACGGTTTACAAACATTAGCTCAAAGTCATGAAAAGGATCACACGTGACTTTGAGTTAATCGCATGTGATCCTCATTACCTTTATGTCGTCAGTAAGTGAACTAGTTGAGGAACGAGTTTGGAATATCGGGAACGAGGCTCATCATACATGCCATGTCGATTTAAGTAAAGTCTGATGGCATGCTTATCGGAAAAAAAAAACAGAAAAAAAGAAAGAAGAGAAAGGTCTAATAACCCATACCTCGTGCTTAGCCCTACCCAAGGACTCGGCCACATGTTAACTTGTATCACCACCTCCATCTCAGCTCTGTAGTGCCTTTGAATACCATCGTCGACCACCTTATGAATAGTTGTACAAGTCAAACTTCTTCCTTTTCCAGGTCTCCTGTTTTGCTTTGCTTACACCACTTGGTATAACAAATTTGATAAGGCATACTGATCTCTATGCGCTATAAGGGGCTTGGGTTTCCTAGTGCCATGTTGCTTCTCCCATTTAGCTAAAATAATTTACCGATAGATAATAAGAAAGGTCCCATTATTATTAAAACTAAAAGAATGAGAGTGGTACTCAAGAAAGGAGTTATCTATCTCATTATTAGAAAAACTGGACGGTCGTAGGTTTTGGCCGGTTTTAGTGATTGACCGATATTTTTAAAAATTAATTAAAAAAAATATATTACATAAATTATCAAAAAATAGAATTTGATTTGTAATATAAATATTTTTTTAATGTTTTTTACATTATAATAAAGATTAAAAATTATTTTTGTTATTAATACTCACTTTAATTTAAAAATTGATTCGTTAAAATTTATTTTTCATTAATTTTCAACATAAGTTCTGTTTTAATCCTTTTTTATATATTTTTATATTTTAGTATATATATATATATATATATATATGGTTGAAATACTTCTTTTTACTACTCGAAACTTGCTCAGAACGGTTGAATCGGTTGGTTTATCGGTATTTAATGGCACTCTTTTATGTTGGTGCATTGGATCGATATTTAATGGCAAGCCACTCGAATGCTAAAACTTGGAAGCTCCTGCTGAGCTCCGCCCGGCCTCGTACCAGGAGCGACGGGTTGCGACAGGTTCCCATGCAAACGCTGAAAGAGAAAATAATGGCACCTGTCCTCATCGATTCCCTCTCTCTCTTCATCGTAATCATTAATCCCGAAGACCCACTTCTATTTTGGGCAAAGAGATTAGAACAAGCCTCAGATCCACATATCACATCGATTTTCCTGCGTTTTCCTCCGCCTTCACTGTTGACTCTCTCTGCAATTTAGTTTGTAGCATTTTCGGTTGATTTTTCCTTCAATGAGGTGAAGAATAATGGAAATGAAAGGAGGGTAAGGAAAGTATCAACCCTAGAGAAGATGCCTGTTGGAAAGAAGTCTCGCACCATTTACCCCATGGGGGTTAGATTTTCTTCTCCTTTATCTATTTTTTATTTTTTCTATTGCCTGATTTTTATTGCAATTTAATGGTTTTGTACTACCATTTTCTTAGATGCCATATTGCAATTTAATGGTTTTATACCATTTTCTTAGATACAAATTTTGGTACTTTCATGGATTGGGGGATCAAGAGAAGTGATTGTGTTTTTTTTTTTAATAAATTTAGTTTACTTGTTTCCGGGTCCTAGCAGATCAAATAGAATTTCATGGAGAATATTGAGTATTATCTTTTTTTTCCAAAAACTCATACGGTGGTATATTTTTTTGAATTGATGATGTTTTTCATGGTGGTTAAAATGTGTAATTCAAGCAATCGTCCTTCCAATTGCCAATCCAATTGCATTGGCGAACTCGTACTCTATTTGCACGCCCATGCAAGCAATGGGTAAAATAAATAAGGAAAATATATAAAAAAAAAAATGTTGATATTTTTTTGCAATATTACTACAGGGGTCAGAGGATTACATATTATACGTAAGGGTATACTTTTCAATTTCTATATCAACCAGGTACATCTCAAGAAAATGTTGAAAATTTTTCTATGGCCTTGTTTGGTGCTGGTTAGGCCTATTTTTGTAATTTTACCCTGGATTCGCCCATACTGGACATGGGCGATTTGGAAAATTTTAGACTCTTTTTGTGGAGATGTACCAGATTGTATAGAAATTTGAAAGATACTTATCATTTGTAATCTAGTGATACTGTGAGGAGTTTCAGACCTTTTTTTTATATATTTTTCCAAATAAGCATATTATGTAGGCTTGCATCTTGAAGACCTTTTCTTATATATTTTTCCAAATAAGCATATTATGTAGGCCTGCATCTTAAAGGTGTTTTAAAACTTGGAGTGGTGAATTAAACTATTCACTTGCCAATTCCAAGTTAGAGACTCGGCTCGGCCAACCTAGAAAAACCATAATGTATAAAATTTTAAAATTTTAAAATAAAACTTGCGAACATTAAATCATTCTTAAAATACTAGTTTTGAATTTTTAGGTCTACATTGCTGAGTCCAGATAAAATCGGACCGGTACCTGTTGGTCCTGGTTCGACTCGGGCGGCTCCGAGTCAAACCACTGAAACACCAATCTTAAAGGGCATTAAGCTTGGGAGATGATTAGGCTAACATATAGCCAGCGTTGCTTCATTGTTCCATTTTTACTGAGCTTCGATCAAGCACCATGCACGGTTAACATGCAGCCTGGTGTACGCCATGAACACATATTGCAGGAGAAAAGGCTACATTTGGATCTTTTTTAACCATATTCAAATCATCTTTGATTTATTTTATATACATTTTTTGTCGAAACATAAGATCTGATCTCCATAAACTACACAGTAGAATGTCATATCTGGGGAGGGGCATTGAATTGTTTTTCAGAGTCCCAAATCAATATTTTCTATAGATAGACCACCATAGATAATAAAAATGCTATGAAAGTTTTGGGGTGAGGCAAATCCCTTTGACATGGTGTTTTACTGAATGACTCTCAAATTTACTCTCTAAAGCACATGCATGAATAATATTCATGCATGTGCATTTGTGCATGGAGCGTATCTGTGTGAGCAAGCGCAGGATTGTGCGTGTATGTGTGCGTGAGAGAGAGAGAGTCTCATTCCACTCAACTCTACCCTTTTATTAAGAATGGGGTCAAGGCTAGGGTCAGGGTCGTGGGTCGCCACAATATGATGTTTGAGTTCCACTTCTACTAAAGGTGAGGGACTCCATCCCACTTGAAGTAACCAAAAAATCCTCCACCCTCTTGTTTGAGCTCCTATGTGCACATGTGCATGAAGTATGCACCTCTAGCATTTGTGCTCATTGCCTATGTCCTAGTGAAAATAGCTTATTAGGACATGAAAAATCATGCTATTTTCAAGCCACATCAATTCAGAAACTTGATGGTCTTGTGGTGAAACTTTTCAGGTCTTTCCATTGAAATCCGGGGACCTTCATCCAAGACCTCGCCTGCTGTTCAATTGTGGATTATCGCTCCTTGGCGTGGCACACGGTATTTATGCGAAAATGGAAAGGGGAGAGGGGGCACTAGGCCATCTAACACAAATCCTAGCATCATGGGTCGGCCCTGTATCTTACATGATGCAATATCAATGGCTCGCCCTTCTCTCTTTCACCGACGATCAAGTGCTTGCAATAACTGACATAGTAGAGGCTTTATGGCCTCCCTCTTCCATAATCTTCAATAAGATGGACCATCTGGGGATCATGTCAGAGCAACTCCCCAATCGCATCGACGCATGGGTGATTGATGGATCCCCAATGATAGTTAGCACACAAAATTTGTTGGAGTTGGCCTCATCCATACTGAACTCTTCATTATGTTTCTTGTCTGACATTGTACCCATCCGGTTCTCAATGGATAGCAATCCCATGGGAGAAGAAAAAGACGATGACGACGAAGTAGAAGAAACAGCTGATGATAAGTCAGTTTCACTAGAAGAGGACCAGTGGAGGGCGGAGACTCTGAAGGATGAGATCGAAAAGGGACTGGTCATCATGGGAATGGAGATCATGGAATTGTACATAGGACCTCCATCTCCTACTTCTAGTTCAGAGGAGACAATGAACAAGGATGTAAAATCAGGTAATGTACCAGCAGCTTTGAAAACTAATAATTTGGAGGTGGCAATGGTCAAGGAAGTGAAACCACACTCAGGATCGGAGTCATCGACAGCTAGCTCGAAAGATGTAGTGGTGGATAGTGACCCGATTCTCGAGCTCTTCGAGGCAGGGTGGCACATGAAGCCAGCTTTGAGAACTCGGAAACTAATCCATTAAGGCTGGGTTTTTCCTATGCTTAGTTGACATTTATTTAATGTTCTTTTTCTTTTTCTTGTGAGATGGTGATTACTGCACAGTATCCTATTGTATATAGAGAAACTGAACTTCTAAAACATATGGGATGTTTTTGTATGATCTATTCTCGACCTCAACCTCATGCCAGCCAATACCACATTTCTTCTTCCCTTGCGAGGCATTCTATTCTAATGCTTGCTACTGAAGATCTTCAAAATTTGGAGAAACGGTGGCATCTTCCGATAAAAGAATGTGGTAAAGTATACGGTACCTTTGGTATAAGAGGTCACAATTTACTTTAGCTTGATGCAAAATAGAGGAGTTGGGGATGCGACTGACTAGATTCAATGTCTAAAAGATTTTTTTTTTACTTTTGTGGCCATGGTAATTATGTTATCCTTATGCCAAAGGCAACATTAAATTCCAAACTATATTATTCAAATTTATGAGAGAATCAAATATCGTTGATGTTTGAAATCATAATTTAAGATAATCAAGTAACCTTTGCATTCTTTAAAACATTTTCCTTCTAAGGAATTGTATCTTTTATTGAGAATACTGCCTGCATATATGTGAGCTTTCGGATTCAACAATTCCCTCGTCTCTTTCTAATTTTGATAGACAGTACACCAGCTGCCATCTAATGTGAAAGGGGAATGGCACAAGTGAACTTGCATTGAGTGAACAATCTTCTTGAGCTGCTTGATCTGATAATGGACCAGCTCCCTCTGAGATCTGATAATGAAACAGCCCCAATACCCGACTCCACAACCAAAACCTCCTTTGGCTTCTCGATATCTCATGAAAAAACCCTAACTTTTCTCTCTTTGAAACATTCAACCTGAAATGGTGTGTAAAAGGGTTCTGAAAACAAGGCAGGAGAGGGATTGTTAGGAAAGAGGCTGGGGGCTCAAGAGAGAAGACTGTACAAAGTAACTGAGAAATTGAATGCCGAGTGATAAGATTTCCATGTGAATTCCCAGTTGAATTTTTGAGAATTTAGATACTAAGCAGTTATTTGAATTTTAAAGGATATGATTTGGCACTATCAAAAGGGTCCCATGAACTTCTCTTATTTAAAAATATTTTTTATTATATTATATATTCTAAAATATCGGGGTATGAGATTGTGATTAAACAAACACTGGATTATAACTTAAATGAGTAAATTTTAGATTATAACTTATCCAAATTAGAGGATGGAGAGAAGTTTCCCTACCATTAATAAACTTAGTAAATTTTATTGCTGATACGTGGGAAGAGTCCTTGAATCCTGAGGACTTGTGATCCCAATGCTTTCCATGACCATAGCTTTAATTGCTTCCATGTTCATGTTTTGGGATGCAGATTGTGAGGATGTTGGCGCTGCATTAGGGCACATAGGAGGAGGGAGTAGAGGTCAGATAGGAGGTGGATGAACATCTCTCCTGGGATTTGCTTGAGAGAATTGGGTGGATGAATTGCTCCTATTGGACAAATTCACACTTCTTTGCTGGAGGCTTTCTATCACAACATTCTTTTTTTCAATTGTTCCCTAAATTGTTGGAGTGCGGCGCTTATCGATCCTCCAGATTTTCTGAGTCTCTAGGCTGACCATCATTAGAATTTCTCCGTCTCCAAGCTCATGCTCTTGGATTGCCCCCTCCCTAAGGGGTTCATTCTCATTCTCATGATCATGAGCGAACGGTTAATGCGAGATAAGAGACATAGGTCTGGTACTATGGTCTAAAGTGGTTGCTCAACATCCTCCTGATCGGAGACTCCAAGTCATGACCAGGTCATGTAGGGTAGTTTTCTGATTTCTAGTTAATGAGGCTCTTAGGACTGTCAAAGCTGAGGTTAGGAGTAATTGGTCTTGAGAAACTCTGTTCAAAACTGAAGCTGGGCCACCTGCAATATTACCACTAGTGGCCTCAAGCACAGGACACTGCTGGTGTCCTAGTTTGGTATATGGCCAGCAGTAGGGCTGGGATAAGGCCGGCGCGCAAGGTTGGGATATGGCGGGTGGGTGATACTGGGATACAGTCGGCGGCCTTTCAATTGATACGGTCAATGGCCTTTAGATTGACACAGCTGGTGGCTTTTCGGCGAACATGACCAATGGCCTTTGTCGAGGCAAATATAGGTCCTTCATTAAGAGGAATACTCTGAGACTTTTGGCTCAGGGAAGGCCCTTGTTCAAGAGTGTCCCACATCAAGAGTCTCTCTCAAAATTTCTGTAGCATGATGCATCTTACCCGGCTCGTGACCTTATGAGGCCAAGTCGGGGCAAGCAAAAGGGTTGTTGCAGTATAGGGGACATCTTTCTAGGGTCCACCTTGCTCCGCGACTACTCAAATTCTGATGGGGCCAATGGCCTACATACATATAGTCAGAGGGGGCATTGAGAACTGGGACTCTAGGCATAACCTTGCCTGTAAAGGCCAAAGATTGTGCCAGAGTGAGGGTGATGCTGGGGCACATCTCAGACTCGATGATCAAACCAACCCGATTAGGATTAGTGGTTGAATACCACTGATGTGTCCTTCTGGAATGGCCCGTGGGTGCTAAGACATGGTTGGTGGTGCCCCTATAGTGAGGTACCACCAAGTCCCCGACATAGAAGTTCTCAAACGGGCCTTTTTTTGGTCTCCCACATTTTAGAAAGCAGTCCTAAGAGGCAGATCAAACAACAAGAAAGCCCAAGATTGTCAATTATAAGGATCAAACCTAAGATTTAAAAGAGAAGAGAATTCCCTAGTTAAGTTACCAAAAAACTTTATGATTTTCATGTGTTGGTATGTGAATGTGTGTTTTTGCAAAAATATAGGAAAGGTTCCTAGTACCATAGAAAAATACCAACAAAGAAAGAAAAAATTTTAAAAATAAATAAAGATTTACATTGGGCTCGGAGTTACCTTGAGCTTGTATTTGTTAGGACCTCTTAGATTCCTACTTTATAACATATCAGCAAGATGCCTGATTTCACACTAAAATGATGATTAGAGAAGAGAAATGGTATGGTAGATCTCCCGAGTCAAGGAGTATGATTCTCTCCTTCTCTCCTTGGTATTTATAGAACTTAGATCATACTAAGTTGGACAACTAAAAAGGCTTGAGACGTGGTGGTAGCACCTCATGCTTCAATTATCGCGTTGTGGTTTCCATTCCCACCACTAACACCATTCTACTAATACCTTCAAAAAGCTAACTCTTAATCTATTTGGAAAAAAAAAACTAACTCCACTCTACTAATACCCTTTCAAAAAGCCAACTCCTAATCTATTTGAAAAAAAAAAAAACTCCACTCTACTAATACCTTCAAAAAGCTAACTCTTAATCTATTTCAAAAAAAAAACTAACTCCTAATCTATTTCAAAAAAAAAACTAACTCCTAATCTATTTGAAAAAAAAAAACTAACTCCTAATCTAGTTGAAAAAAAAAAGCTAAACTTCTAATCTATAATGGAAACCACTAACAACCACCCTATTAATACCTTCAAAAAGCTAACTCCTAACCTATTTGAAAAAAAAGCTAACTCCTAATCTATTTGAAAAAAGGCCAGTCTTCCACACTACATTGCCAAAAAAAAAAAGAAAAAAAGAAAAAAAAGAAAAGAAAAATTAACTTTTTGTCCCAAGGTTTTGATCGAAAGGGTAAGTTCATTATGGTTTAGGGCTGAAATATTGATGATTTGCCCTTGGCGACCTTGCATCACCTTCTACCACCACTTTCCTCAATCATTCATGTTAGGTTTTGATCTCTTGAGGTTATTTTTGCCTAAGTGTCGTCCAAAAACTGCTCATGTCGATGGAGTTACGGAGATTTTGTTGATCAAGGTAATTCTGCAGCATAATAATTTTTTGTTTTCATTTGAACTTCAATTTGCTCTTCACTCTTTAAAAAAAAAAAAATTACAGTTAGTTATTTTAATGTTTAGAAGATCGAAAAAATGGTATCAAAGGATGTTGGCTAGCTTTAAAATCTAAAATATAAATATTTTAGGAGCTAATCCATCATGTTGGATAGCTTTAAAATCTAAAATATAAGTTTTTAGGAGCTAATCCATCATCCCAAGTTTCAGCCTCATTAAACGCCGTTTTACGGGGTTCGATTCATAGATCGACCAACTTTTTGGTCACCAACCATATTTAACGTTGGGTGTATGCAAAGGTGCTTCAATTCTAGGGGTGGGAATTAGGGTAGGTCGACATGAGGTGGGCCCAGGTATGGGTCTACCTTCAGGATCTAACGTGTTGGGTCCAAGTCGGACCCCGCCGATTACTGGGTCAGGTTTGGATCCAGGTCAACCCTTATTCGACCCGATTAAATATATTATAAAAGATGTTATGTATTATTTTACGTATTATAATAAATATTATATAAAATATAACAATATATAATACTACAATATTATTTTATATAATAGTATATAATGTACACTCTCTCTAACTAATATATAACAATTCTTCTTTTATAGACTTACCCACCTAACCTATTTCTTAAATTAAGCAAAGGAAAATGGTTTCATGTGGGCTGGACCGCATTTCTACATATGTGATCCAGAAAGCGTAAAGCATTGATCTTAAAGATGGATGCCAGTAGGTATTCCATCTACAAAAATGGAAACTAAGAGTCCAAATGTATTCTTGCTAAAAAATATTATTTTTAGTTTTAAAAATTTATTTATTATTCATATTCATGATCTCCATGTTAGAGATTACATGTCCATAAAAATTAAATCTTAAAATTCATCTCAAAAATATATTTATTAAAAGGACCGCATTTCTACATATGCGGGCTTGGCTGTATAGAAACCGGGCCCTTGAGCAAATGTGGGACTAAATCTAATAACTATTCTCCTTGTATGCTTCATCCACCTCCACCTTATTTTACTACCTAAGCAATGTCATACATACGGGCGGTGGTCTCATACAATGGTTGTATAGTAATATAATGCAAGAATATTCAAAAACTATGTTAGGGTCATTTGTTTGATACAATTTTTAAAATATATACTCTTTTCATGCTAATAAACAATCACAAAAAAGTAAAAATTGAAAACACAACCTCGAAAGCATTTTTTGAGCCCAATTAACATAGGCCATCCATTTTGATAAGATGCTTAGATCGATGCCTTAGAAGGATTTTTTTTCTTCTCTCATTCTTTTAGATGGATTTATTATTAT